GGGGCTTCTTATGCTCAAGTGCGATAACTACCGTGCCACGCAGAGAGAAAGGGGTAGAATATTCCAGTTTGAAGAACAGTGTTTTGTTTGCCCACAGGAGAATTTCGGGCACGTGTCTGGGCTTTGTAAATTGCATTCATTTATTCATCCATCCATTCGTACACTCCTCCATCGATTTATCCAACCGAAAAGTGGTCGGGTCCATGCATCCATGCACCCATCAACCCATCCACTCACCCATCCAACATCCAGCAAGTATGTCCTGAAACGCCCACCATGAACCCTCTTAGGCACAAGAGATATGACTGAAATTGCAGACACGCAGATCTCTCTTAGCCTCTAAACCAGTGATTCTCAACCAGGGAGAACAAGTTTGCCCCCATAGGACATTTGGCAAAATCTGGACACATTTTTGGTTGTCACACAGGGGCGGAGGCACTACTGGCATCTGGTGGGGTAGGGGCCAGGGGTGATGCCAAGCATCCTGCCATGCACAGAACAGCCCCCCACAGCACAGTTAATAGTGTTGAGGTTGAGAAGCTTTTCTCTAGACCGTGAGCCCCTTGTGGGCAGTAACTGTATTGTAGTCCCCTGGGTATCCCAAGGTCACAAGACAGTGCCCGACCCACAGGAGCTGAGCAGATGTTTCCATGCAAGAGGAAAACGCGCAACACAAAAATACACTCATGTCTATAAAGAGCTGTGAAAACTCAACAACAAGAGGGCAACCCGATTCAAAAATGAGCAAGGGGCTTGAATAGACATTTCTCCATAGAAAATCTACAAACAGCCAACAAGCAGCTCATGAGTCACTAGAGAAATGCAAATCAAAACCACCATGAGGTATTGCTTCACATATGCTAGAACGGCGGTAACAGTGATACTAACAACAATGATAATAATAATAATGAATATAATGGGAACACAACCAGCGTTGGTAAGGATGTGGAAGTACGGGGCCCCTTGCACACCTACTGGCGTGAATGGACAATGGCGTCTCTTGGAAGTTCCTCAAAAGGTCAAAAGAGGAATTACCACGTGGCTGATCACATGACTGAGGAGTTCACTTGCAGGCTGATGAGCCCAAAGAACTGAAACCAAAACTTGTACATTCGTATTCTTAGAAGCAGAAAAGGCCAAAGATGGGAAAATGAAATGCTGAGGGGGTCTAGTGGTCACGGAGTGAGGCCATCGTGCTGGTAGAAGCCCAGTCCAGCTGTACTCGTCCAACCCCCCGGGCCCACTGGGAGTTTTAGAAGGAGCTCCCTCAAGGCCCAGGCAGAGATTCGGCCTGGGGCCTGGGGCCTGGGGCGGGGAGGCCTCAGCTTCTTGGCTCCAGAACTCTGAGGCTCCAGAACTCTGAGTTTCAGCAGCTGGAACTGCTGGTGTGAATGCTTTCCCCAGAGAAAGGGACGGGTCCAGGCAGAAATGTGCCTGACGCTGGGGCCGGGGGCTAGGCTTCTCCAGTGGCGGGGTCGAAGCAAAGGGCCCCAGCCTAGGCTTCAGGACTGGGCCTGAGTCCCAAGCCCGTATTTCCTGGCTGAGTGACCGAGAGCAAGTCTGTCAACCTCTGTGTGCTGTGCTTTGCTCATTTTTACTCTTGTGTCCATCTACCTGTGTGCACGAGTGAACATTTCTAGAAGAAGGAGAGCTGGGCCAAAGGGCATGCAGTTTGAGTTCTGGAAGAGATGGCCAGATGACCTTCCAAAGAAGGCTCCAGAACCAGGTTATTTCTGAAACTCTTGCTGGAATCAACATTTCTTTGACCTCTAGCAGGGAAGGGAGTAATGCCCTTAGACAAGCCATGTAACCTCGGTGAGGCTTGGTTTTCCTCATCTGTAAGATGGGAGGCCCAGAGCAATGCACAGGAGGCACTCTGGAGGTAGCCAAGGGCTTTTAAAATTTTTTTTTTAATGTTTATTTATTTTTGAGAGAGAGAGACAGAGTGTGAGTGGGAAAGAGGCAGAGGGAGAGGGAGACACAGAATCTAAAGCAGGCTTCAGGGCTCGAACTCGTGAACCATGAGATCATGACCTGAACTCACGTTGGACACTCAACCGACTGAGCCACCCAGGCGCCCCAGCAAAGTATTATTTAATACGAAGGATTGAGATTCTCATTAACACGGGGAGGCTCAGTGGCTGGACACCACCCCCTTCCACCGTGCAGAAAGCAGAGCAGGGAGCCTGACCGAGCAAGGAGAAGGAATGTGTTTTAAATCAAGCATCAAGGGTATGCAAGACACATGCGGGAGTGGGAGGGGTGGGCGTGATTCTGCCCCCCAGGGGACAGCTGGCGATGGCTGGAGACAGTTTAGGTGGCCTAACTAGAGAGGTTTCTACTGGCACCTAGTAGCTAGAAGGGCAAGGATGATGCTAAACATCCTCGGTGCACAGGACAGCCCCTGACACTGACAATTATTCCGTCCCCAGTGTCAGCACTGCTGAGGATGAGAAGGCCTGGTCTACAGCTCTCTCTCCTCTGAGGCCTACCCGCCAACAACCTCATTCAAAAGTAAGGAAACTGAGGCTCGGAAAGGGAGTGACTTTGCCCAAGGTTCCCCCGCCAGCAGGAGGCAGGAGTCAACTCTTGGCTCCCCCTGACTTTATGGTCCGCGGTCCTAAAACACAAAGGTTTTATGACTTTGCACTTGAAATCACAATCATTGCTCCCACCCATTTGCGGTAGCAGCTACGCACATGACGAGGATTAGCTCATTTTATGTGGATATAAGATTAATAATCTCCTCAAGATCATACACGAAGGAGCAGATTTGGGTTCCAGACCCAGATAAGAGGGGTCCAGAGACAGATCTCTTGTCCCCTGTGCAGGCCAGTTCCCCTGATGCTGTGAACTTTCGCCTTGGCACCTTGGACCTGGCTCCCTGCTCTAAACTGGAGCATGACAGCCAACCCTTTAGCTGGAGGTGGCGGGGGTCGGGGGAGGGGAGGGAGAAGCCCCCACCTCAAGACCCTCCCATGTGCAGGGACCCAGTCGCTGTTGCCCCACTGGGTGGTTCTGGAGAGGCTGCTGCTGCCCGTTCCAGCTTCTGCCCCCTCCGGTGGCTCAGGAAACACAGCCATGCTCTGAGCGGGGACAGGAGACTGCTGTAGGGTGGGCTCAGTGCCATGATCACATGGCGTGAGCGGTGAAGTGCAGACCCCCAGGAAGGGATTCTACCAGGTGGCTGAGTCCCAGCTCTGCTCCTTCCCACCTCCGTGACATTCTCAGAGCCCCTGTGCCTCCTCTGACAAGCCGAGGGGCCGGTGCCAGCAGGCCCAGTTGTAAACGTGAGGCCTGGAGCCTGTGTCCTGGACCCCAGCACCCCACGATCCCTGTTAAGACTGTGACCAGATTTGCCACCCACTGGCCGGATGACCTTGAGCAAGTGTCTTCGCCTCTTTGTGCCTCTGTTTGCTCAACTGTCAAATGAGGGAGCAGATCTCTAACCAAGAAGCCCTTTGGGGCTTTGGCACTCCAGACTTGCCTCCCCCCGGGGCTGACCTCTTTGGGCCTCCCGGACACACATTTCTCCATACCCCATATCCTGCGTGCAGGCGTAAAGAGTAAGGCAAAGCTCCTCACCTTTCTCCTTCCTGTCCTCCACCCTGGCCTGCCAGATAAGAGCTGGTTCCGGCCCCCCTCAAGTCACCAACACCCTGACCCTTGGCCCAACAATGGCAACACTGTCTCCGGATGGTTCCTGCAGCATCTGCCTCCTTCGGCCGAGTGCCCAGGGAGTTCCACTGAGCAGTGCCCACTGGAGCTGGAGGGAAGGGGAGCCCCAGGGAGCAAGCTGGGCCCCCCTCTTTGCATCTGACACTCCCTTCTCCAGGGAGCCTGGACTGCCTCAGGGGAGAATATCCTGAACACTAGCGGTGGTCCTGTTGCCTTTAGGGGCCATCTCTGCTGTCAGAGTTCAGAGGGTACTAGAATGGCCCCTAGGCTCAGGATCCTGACTTTAAGGGCTTCATTCTTACTCAACATTCTCTGGTCCTATCTGTGGCCCAGGGGGTGGGGGGGGGGGGGGGGGTGGGGGAGGGGAGGGGGGTGAACAGGGGGAGCAGTGGGGGGTGGGGGGTACAGTCGGGGAAGGACTGGGTTCCGGAGGGGCAGGGAGAGTGGGTGGAGGGTGTTCATGAGTGGGGAGTGCTTGGAAGGGTTAGAGGGAGGTGGAGTCAGGTGGGCGACTTGGTCCAGATGGGTGGCCAGCTCCTTGTCCTGTTTCTGAGTATGAAAGGCCCTCACCTTGCATCTGTTGGAGGAAGAGGGTACCTCCCCGAAATGCTTTTACTGTGGTGGTGTCTGAGGCAACCATGTCTCCATCATGGGTGGGAAGGGGGTCATGGGCGGGGTGGGGGAGGGGGAGGGAATCCTCCACATCGGAAGGCAAATCTCAGAGTCCAGTTTGGGAAGTGGGGTACACAGGGTGGTCCCTGTTGGGTGTGAGGGGCTTCATGTGAGACATACTGAGTCTCTGCCCTCATATTTCCTGGTCTTAAGGAGGGGCTTATTTCCCAGGACATCTGGGGGGGGGGCTTTCGTTTTCCACGGAGGGAGGGTCCTGTTATCTACGTGCTAAGAAGACCCCCACCATTCAGAAGCGAGGGTGGAACAAGAGATCCAAACTTAGTTTCCGAGGGAGGCGGAAGGTGCATCCATCTCCGAAGAGATGAGAGGGGCCCTAGATACGCGTGGAGGCTGGACCCCACTTTGGGGGGGGGGGTGGTGGTGCATATTCCACTGCAAGGGGTAAACCGAGCAGGGGAATCCTACCTCTGGAGCCTGGGGCCCGGAGGAAGAGCCCTTTTCTTTTGGGAATTGGAAGCTATTTTCCTCTCTGGGAGGTGAAAGACCCTCTCCTTTTACGGGGAGGGGACCCGCGTCTCGAGAGGATGAGGGCCCCGTTTCTGGGAGAAGACGCCCCGTTTTTGCTCCCTGGGGGCAAGGCCATCTCGGTGGACGGGCCCGCCCCACGCTACCCGGCGCCTGGCCCTTACCTCCAGGCCCGGGCTCCGGTCTGCGGACTCCGGTGTGCCGGGCGCCGACTTGAGGCTCCTGCGCTCTGAGCTCCGGGTGCGTCCGGTCTCTGCCCCACTTCCCCCAGCGACTCGCGGGGTTTCCTGGCTCCGCCGAGCCGCGCTGGCCAATCAGCGCTGCGGGCCCCGGCCCTCGTTCGCGCCGCAGCCAATGAGCGCGCCCGCCACGGGCCACCGCCCCCGGGGGGGAGGGGGAAGGCAGGGCGGGGGCAGAGTCCGGCCTCCGGGGGCGGGGGAGCCGGGGGCCTGGAGGAGGGACCTCGAGGGCCGGGGAGCGAGGGTTGGGGCTGTGGAGGAGGAGGCTGAGGAACCCCACCAGGCCGGAGGGGAGCCTAGCGAATGCAGGGTGGAGGACGGCTCCATAGGTTGATTTGACCTAGACCTTAATTACCTCCTGTCCCCTTTCCTGGGTCCTGGGGTCTGCGGGTGAGTGTAGCTGCCCCCGCGTTCTGGCTCTGGAACCCTAGATCCAGAGTCAGAATCCGTAAGATGCCCTGCTCCTCTCCGCCTCCTAGTGCGGGCGCTCAGGGCCCTCTCCATCAGCCCTCGGAGCTGCCCCTTAACACCTCACTTAGCACCTCACTTAACACCTCCTGGCCCACCAGCTCTGCAAGACAGATGGCTTGTGCATGCTGGAGGCAACGCTAAGAGCACTGGACTAGAAGTCCATGGTTCTGTCTGCATGATCTAGGTCGGGCCACTCCACCGATCCGATCCTCAATTTCCTCAAGAGTAAATGAAGACAGTAGTGGTAGTACCTCCTTCATGGCTGCAAATAAGACTGTAGAGGTGGTGAAGGTGCTCTTATAAAAAATTAAAATGCCCTATCAAAGCTGGGTAATACTAATGTGTGAATGAGTAATAGCCCAGGAGCTTTCTAAAGGTATTTGAGAGAGAATGCATTCATTCATTGAGTGGTAGAGTCAAAGACACAGAAACTGCCCATCAGAACAACATGAGATCACCAGGTGCTCACAATGATTGAATGAATGGAAATTCCAGACCCTAAAAGGCCAAGAAAGAATACGGCTTGGTTTTCCCTACTCATCCTGATCACTAATTATTTCCCTAGTCTGCAGATATCTTGCGGAAACCTGAGGTCCCACCTTTCTGCTTTCCCGCAATCCAAGCTGCCCTGTCTCTGGTTAGGCAAGGAAGACTGTGTTCCTAGAAATTAAGGAACTAAGATAAATATAAAACAAATAACTAAGTAAATAAAAAACAACCAAAAAACCCTACCTGCCCTCTAGTATGGTCTACGACCATAGGGACCAAAAAGAAACAATAAATAAGAATCATTCAAAGGAACAGACAGAAAATTGATCCAAGGTTTTGCTGAAATTGAGAGAGCTTTGCCAATCTCTTTGGTATGTTAATCCTGCCACCTTGCTTGCAGAACTTTGTGAGGGTTATAAATCTAGCAATTTTTCCTTAAAACTTAAGCCATGCAGATAATCCTCTTTATTGCCCGTAACTCACCCAAAGAAATAAAATGGTTAATAAACATGGGAGGAAGTAAAGTTTGTCGAAGTTACTCTTTGACCAAGAAATTAAGCCTCCGTGAATTTATCTTAAACAGTGAATGGTACAAAAAGGCTTAGTGATAAAGTGGTTTACTATCATTTTGTTTATTGTGGCAAAAAACTGGAAACAAATGTACAACCATAGAGACTCTAAAGGGACACTCTATCTGTTTCATGAACAGAATACCTCCAATAAAACATAAGTACTGAGTATTTGAATGGCATGAAAATGTCCTCTCAAAATATTAAGTGAACAAAGATATTCACCAAAGAAGTATTGTCCTGTATTTGTTAAAACTATAGAGATAGATGTGGAGAGATCAGTGCTATCTAACAGAACTTCCTGCTTTGGGTGGAAATGTTCTGTATCTGTGCTGTCCAATATGGTAGCCACTAGCCAGACATAGGTATTGAAGAATTCACGTGTGCTGGTTGACAGAGAAACTGAAATTGAAATTTTATCTAATTTTTGTTTCAGGTCAAATAGTCATATGCGGCTACTGGCTATCACATTGGAGAGCATCAATATAGATAGATAGAGAGGTAGAAAAATAAATGCCCATTAGCATAAATAGTTATAGCTATATGTTGAAATTATGGAAGATTCTAATTTTACTTTATTTGCATGTTGCTAACTTATAATTGTTTTATAACAAATATCTATTACTCCTACACTAAGAAAAAAATATTTAAAATGAAAAACAAAAAAGCAAAGGTTTAAGCCCAATGTAGCCTAGCCCACCGTCTGTTTTGTATGACCTGCAGGCTATGATATAAAATTGGTTTTATGTTTTATTTTATTTACATATTTTGTAAATGTTTATTTATTTTGAGAGAGAGCGAGAGACAGTACATGCGTGAGCCAGGGAGGGCAGAGACAGCGAGAATGGATTTCAAGCAGGCTCCACACTCAATGCAGAGCCCAACGCGGGGCTCGATCCCATGACTGTGAGATCATGACCTGAGCTGAAAACAAGAGTCAGATGCTTAACCGACTGAGCCACCCAGGCGCCCCGGGTTTTATATTTTAAACAGTGGAAGCAATCGAAAGAAAAATGATATTTTCTTTCACATGCGAATGACATGAAATTGAAATCTCACTGTGCATAAATAAAGTTTTATTGGAACACAGTGATACCCCCCTCACCTATGCATAATCTATGGGTGCCTTTGTGCTATGGCAGAGCTGAGTAGTTCTGACAGAGACCGCACAGCTTGCAAAGCCAAAAATATTTACCGCCTGGCCCTTTTTTAGAAAAGGTTTGCCAAACCCGGGTCTAAGATGATTGCAGGAAGCAAACATTCACAGCATCCACTGTGGGTTAGGCCTCGGTACTGAGTGTTCAGGAGGAGCTGAGCTGCTTCTGGTTGAGGAGGGCTGTGAGGGGGATATTTATGGCCAGGTGCTTTGCAAGCTGATTCTCAAGCAGCTTCATTGTGATACTTGGGAAGGAAACTGTCAGCACGCGAAGGCCCTTCTCACATTAGCTTCCCTTGCATTTTCCACAGCCCCGTGCTGCGGGCGCCTTCCAGGGGTTGTTGAGAATGTTTTCCAGAGGCTGGCTGAGGCCCAGGGTGAGCTCCTCAGAAAAGCATCTCTGAGGAGGGAAATTAGGGCAATGGGGCACGAAGCTCTCAAGGCACCAGCAGTGTGAGCAGGAAAGGCCCTTAGAGATCAGCCACCCATTGTACAGAGGGGGATGATGAGGTCCAGAGACCAGGATGAACCTTCCTAGAGCCAGACTAGAATATCTGCCTTATTTCTCAGATCTGTGCTTTCCACGGTCCCTGCTCACAAAATAGTATAGGGATATCACAGAGGGCATTGGGTGTGAGGAAAGGGGGACCAACCCGGGACGTAGTGGGAAATTCCATGTCTACCTCCCAATGGTCGTGTGATGTTGGGAGAAGTCATTTACCCCTTCTCAGACTCTGCGTTCCCCTTTGTGAACTGAACGATTAAAGCAACTACCACGACATCCACATGTGAAAGAAGACCGTTGGACCCTTATCGCACACCGTACACAAAACTTAACTCACGATGGATCAAAGAACTAAATAGAAGCCCTAAAACCACAAAACTCTTAGAATAAAACACAGAGGTAAATCTTCATGACTTAGGGTTTGGCAATGGCTTCTTATTTTTTTATTTTTTATTTTTTTTTAACGTTTATTTATTTTTGAGACAGGGAGAGACAGCATGAACGGGGGAGGGGCAGAGAGAGAGGGAGACACAGAATCCGAAACAGGCTCCGGGCTCCGAGCTGTCAGCACGGAGCCCGACACGGGGCTCGAACTCATGGACCGCGAGATCATGACCTGAGCCGAAGTCGGATGCCCAACCGACTGAGCCACCCAGGCGCCCTTGGCAATGGCTTCTTAAATATGACACCAAAGGCATAAGGAAAAAAGAAAAGAAAAAAATAGATAAATTAGGATTCATCAAACTCAAAGGCTTTTGTGCATCAAAGGACATGATCGAGAGAGTGAGAAGACAGTTCACAGAGAGAGAGAGAAAACATTTGCAAATAATATATCAGAAAAGAGTCTAGGATCCAGAATATATAAAGAGTTCCTACAACCCAACAACCAAAAGGCAAACAACCTGATTCAAAAAATGGGCAAAGGACTTGAATGGACATTTCTGCAAAGAAGACATACAGATGGCTGATAAGCACATGAAAAGATGCTTATCATCATCAGTCATTAGGGAAAAGCTGATCAAAACCACACTGAGGCACCACCACGCGGTCCCTAAGATGGCCGTAATAATAAAACGGAAAATGACAAGTGTTGGCAAGGGTGTGGAGACACTGGAACTCTCACACACTGCCGGTAGGAATGTAAAATGGTGCAGCCACTGTGAAAAACAGTCCGTCAGCTCCCAGTAAGTCAAACATAGCCACCATATGACCCAGCAATTGCAATGCCAGGTCGATATCAAAAAAAAATTGAAGACAGGTTTTCAAACAAAAGCTTGTAAATGAATGTTCATAGCAACACTGCTTACAGTGGCCAAAATGTGGAAGCAAACCAAATGTCCATCAACTGATGAATGGATGGCCAAATTGTGGTATGTCCACACAGTGGAGTATTACTGAGTCGTACAAAGGAATGAAATACTGGCATATGACAGACACAATGTGGGTGAATCCTGTAAACAAAAGACCACGCACTGTATGGGTCCATTTATAAGAAGTATCCAGAATAGGGAAAGCCACAGAGACAGAAAGCAGATGAGTGGTTTCCAGCGGCTGGGGGTGGAAAAAGTGGGGAGTAACCGCTTAATAGGTATGGGGTTTCTATTTGGGATACTGACAACGTTCTGGAACTAGATGGGGGTGATGGTTGCACAGCATTGTGAATGTGTTGCATGCCACTGAACTATTCACTCTAAAATGGTAAATGTGTTATGTGTATTTTGCCGCAAGAAGAAAAAGGTACGTAGCACAGTAGGTCACCCTTTGGGGTAAATGATAGGTGTTCATTCCTGGTCCCTGGTGGATACCCACACACCGGAAGCTGTTGTTATTACCGGCTTCACCAAGCA